GCCCCAGGGGGGAAGGCGCCCACTCCTCCCAGCTGCCAGGGCGTGATTGGGGAGGGATAGGAGCGAGTATTTTGGAGAGGGTAGGTTGTACAGTGATCCGTAGTGTGTAAGAGTTGTTGGGGTATAACCCGAGCATTGTGGGCATTTGGGGGTACTCGTCCGACCTCGAATATAATGTTGCAAGTGTGGGGAGTGGAAAGAGTGGGCTTGGAAACGTCTCATAATGGAGGCCTCCGCCCCGTCTGGAATTTTGGAAGGGCATGCGAGGGTGGTCTGCATGTGTCTCACATCTTTGAATGTGTTGCGTGTGTCTTTGTGTAGCTGTTGGCAATGTTCGTATAGGTTGTATTCTTCAGGCCAGAGGGTGGAAGGTCCCGAATGTACACTGCTCGGGAGAGCTCGTGAGCTCTTTGATTCCCTCCCAGGCCCTGATGGCACCCTTTCAATCGTGATGTGCAGCTCGGGGTGTGTGTGAAGGTAGCCTTGTAGGGTGCCGTACGTGTGGGTAGCGAGTTCACCGTCTCTGAATCTTCTGCTTGCACTCTGGCTGTTGGTGCGGATGAGTGCCTGCTTCCATGATTGCTAGCACCTGAGCTGCTGTTTACGATGGAACTCAGGTGGAAGCGTAATGCCGACGCCCCGAACTGTTCGACAAGTATTTGAGGCTTGAGCTATAGCTGGCATCAGTGTAGTCACACCTAAGTTTGCGGAAATCCGCCAGCCTTGGCGGAATCATGTCTTTACTGGACATAATTTTTCTGACACATGGTGAAATTTGTTTATTCTTCAAGATGGACATCTGTCAAATACGAGCCAGCCTTGACAGGATCCTCATCAGTCTGGCAATATTAGGGGGAGGGGGGGGGGGATTGTGATTCTGCAAGATGTGGCAGAATCCCCGATTCGTCTGGCAGCATTAATGTGGATCCCTATAAACTAAACGGAATCCCCGATCAGTCTGACAATCCAACCAGGCTTGACGGAATTCCCTACCGGTCTGGCAATATTAAAGCGGGATTCCGGCAAAGTTGGCGAAATTCCCCATCATTCTGGAAACATCAACAGGAGATTTCTAAAGACTTGGTGGTATCCCCGACTAGTTTGGCAGCACTAATAGGGAATCCACCAGCCTTGGCGGAACCCCCACCAGAGTTGTTACGTGGCACAAGCTTGTGGATGCGTCCCCCACATGAGGTTGCTGTCGCTGTTCGCAGTGCTTCCTGTAAACTGGGTAACAAGAAAACAAGAGTGCTGTTCAAGTTGAAGTTTAAACATGAACTTGACTTTTGTGATGCAAACTTTTTATAATATGCACAGAATGTAGATAGATACTCTAACTAATTCTGTACATAACCCGGCACGTATTTAGGCAGTTACTATGACTTCGACCAAGCTTTCGAATGGCCTCCCGCAGGAGGTTTCCGCCCGAGTTTTCGGTCATTCCCTCCCAAGTTCAACAACACCGTCGGTCGCCATAGATGTTCCTCCCCGACCGCTGTCAGGGACGTGTGTTGGTCCTTCCCGAAGTTTCATGCAGTCTCCTCCCTAGACGTTACACGCACGCGGCCGGTCTTGCTGACTCATGATGCTGAGAAATCTGACGGCCTTTGGGGAGGAAATTCAGCAGCTTCTGCCACGCCATAATAACTGCCTTAATCGATGCGCGATTATGTGAAAAAGTTGCTACGTTCTTTGTGCATTTATTTACTTGTATACATCTATACCTGCTGTGCCGTTAGGCATTATGCTACTGCGGGGGGCACATGACGCTACGAGTCGTCGGAGCGCAAATGCAGGGCTGAAAACCACTTCCGTCCGGACGAGACCAAATGCGAATGGGACCAAATGCGAAAGGGCCCACCTGCCAAAGGGACCACATACGAAGGAGACCAAATGCGAGTAGGCCCAAATGCAAAAACATAATGGAAGGGATGTGTTGAGAAGGTTCAAACGAGAATGGGGTGAAATGACAAAGGGCGAAATTTCGATGTGACGTTTCGGGATACATAGCAGATGAGAATGTGGCTTAAAAAAACGGTTTTTAGCCCCTCCAGTCGCACGCAGTCGGAAGTGTGAGAACCAGCATTTACTCTGTACATAACACCTACTTGTCCAGAGCTTTCTTTTCTTTTTGTCGATGTCATATAATTGTCTTCGTGTTTTTTTTTTTTTTTTTTCCTCTGTTATAATGTTAGGCTGTGCTTGGAAACCCACCTCACAAGTGTCCGTGCGCCGTTAAGAAAACTTAATTTTGTTTTGCTCGTAGGAGTTGTTTTGAAGTATTCTACATCCACGTGTACCTTCAAGAAACAACAAAACAAACAAAAAACACCCTTGTACGCGCGGTAGGTTGGGCCATGGCTTTCATCTTTAACTGCCTCTACGGATGGACTGAATTCGCCGTTGATGAATGGTTGAAGCTTTTATTTCGGGGCAAACGCTTGCGTTTGTTTGCAGGTTCTTCTTTTATTTTTTTGCTGTTCGTTTATATATATACATATGGATTCTTTCCTTCTTATGCCACGCGCTCTATACGGAAGGGGAAGAAACGCAAAATAAGCATAGGTGAACTTGAAAAATGATATGTCGGTTTATACCCAAGTTGCTTAATGTCTCAACTCGTGTATTTTGTTCCCTTTCACTTTTTTTGCTGGGAACTATTTCTCTTTTTTTGCATTCAGCCTTTTCCCACTTTTTTTATACGGCAAAATTGTGACCGGCTTGCTCATACTTGAAATGAACCAAAATTTTTGCCTGGAACACTGTTAATAAATGCAAGTCAATAGCGTAATATACCAATATACTAGAGCAGCGTTGAAAAAAGATTACACGATTTGTCCAATAAGCATATCAGTCTCACAAAGAGAATGGGATTATTGGTTCGCAAACTTTACTGAGACTCGTCATTGATTCACCACTAATTTTTGTACATAAATGATTGGAGGCGCGGTTTGCCTGAGAACAATCGGACGTGCATTTATTCTATACCTTTTCCCTGTTTTAAAAGAGCAACACTCTGATTTCAACCTGTCGCTCTTTTAAAAAATGATGCCGAAATCGCTGATGTCGCTACGCTGACTCTCGACGAAATTCGTCGGCATTTAGTGCGGGGTGCCGACTCGGCGAAGGATGGGAATTCCAGCCTCGTATACCCCGGTCCGCATACTGTGGTTTTCGGAGAGTCACTTCGTTCTCCCGGGCGTTGGCGGTTTCGGATGCAGCCGCCACAGCTTCCGTCGATCGCCGCTTACACTCTCGAGAAAAAAGGGTGTAAAAAAGGTGTGTCGTTACACCCTTTGTCCCATATAATACACCCCAAAACTTCAATACGACGTACAGCGCCGTACAGTCGAACAGACGGCCCCAAATTTTACGAGAGTCTTGATAGCCGTGGGGTACAACTTATTAAAATAGCTAATGTACGTTTTACTGACTACAAAAACAATAATCGAGGTTTTCTTGGCCCTTCTGTGAAAAACTCGGTGTTTTCTTTATGTGGTCTTTGATACGTACTTTAGCTGTTTAAAAAGTTATATCGCACCGTTATCAAGCCCCTCGTAAAATTTGGGACCGTGGGTTCGACTATAGGGCGTTGAAGTGAAGTTTTGGGTGTATTATACGGGACAAAGGGTGTAACGATACACTCTTTTACACCCTTTTTTTTTTTTGAGTGGCATGCGGGCCGCGTACGGTTGTTTTCGAAGAGCCGATTTTTCCGCCCGGGCGTCGGCGGTTTCGCGCAAACGGCGCCGTCGCTGCGTCTCGGGTTTACATTGTCGCGTGCGTTGTGCATACCGGGGAAGGAAACGTGTACCAACAACCCGGTGCCATCGTAAGAGGAGTGCGCGTGAACAGCGGTGCGTCACGGGGAGCTTGGGAGAGGACTCTTTCCTTCTTACGTAAGAGGAAAAGGGGACGTAAAGAGCGAGCGAACGTAGCGAGAGAGCACGGCGGGAACCGCGCCGCGCGAACTCACGAGACCAGTCCAGTCCAGTCCAAACCAAAAAAACGACTGCTTACACCAGGGTAATCAATGCTAACGGATTTTAAAAAAAAACTAATGCGTGTCGCGGTGAGACGGAACGAGTATAATTCGGGCAAACGAGCGCCTTTTTATTCGGGCAACTAGCCTCGATGATGATGATGATTTCCGGCCCTGTACCTAGCGCCACCGCGTGACAGACACCGCCTCGAGCTATTTATTTTCTCTCTCTCTCTCTCTCTCTTTACTCAGTCTCTCACGACAAATGGAATGACCGGGGAGAGCTTTTCCCGCCAAGAATATCTTATTCTATGGTCTGAGTAAAGCGCCGTTCACACTCTTGCGACCGAGTAAGACCGAGAGAGACCAGACCGGTTTTTAAGCCTTTTGCGACTTCTTAGGACCGGATGCGCTACAGCGGAAGCTGGTCCTAAGAGATCGCAAGAGGCTTAAAAACCGGTCTCGTCTCTCTCAGTCGTACTCGGTTGCAAGGGTGTGAACGGGCCTTAATACTCGTGCCCCAGTACAATTCAGCAGCACAAACACAAACTCTATACGTTACTACATGGAAATACTAACATGCAGACATGGAAAACGCTATTGATAACGTTCAAAATGAGGCACACTATACGATAACACCAGTTCTAACGTGACATATTTAGTGTATTATTTCATGCTAAATCCAGAAGACAACATTTAGAAAGCACCTGAAATTTGTGTAGTGTTGGAGCTATTACTCATTGATATTATTTTTGGGCCGGTGGTTAATAGCCGTGAAGTTTGATGAGATGTCTTGGTTCACCATCATTAACGTGGGTTCTCGATTGGAGGTGATGCGTGGGGCGCAAAGTGAATGGTGATGTTTTGTTGGTGTGAGTATCCTGTATGAATTGTATTTAGCGCGAGTGTGGTAGCGTGTGTGAGATCGTATCTGTGTTTGTTTACGCGAACGTGTGGTGTTCACAACACCGATCGTTAGTTTCCAATTTTTAAAATTTGTCTTTGTCGTGTTTCTCAGCCACCTGAACAAGCTGCTTCGGTCCTGCATCGCTGACCGCTGTGTGGTGAGTAACATTTTCTAATTCTCTGAGCAGAAAAAACAAACAAACAAAAAAAACATTTCATGTTTTGCACCGACTTTGGGAGTTTTTTCTTTCTTTTTTTTTGATGCACTCACATAAATGTTCGTGTTAACGTTTTTCAATAATCTCGAATTGGGTTTTCCAATGACTTGCAACCATGATCATTGATATGTGTTCACGAATCCAACGCGTTATATTAGTGCTCAAAAGAGGGGAAAGAAAATGTGCCCGAATATTATTGTTAAAGCTTTAGGGCGCTGAACTCAAAAGAGAAGTGCGTTTATTTCGCGTCGATTGCAGAAGCACTTCGCATAGGTGGCTTTTTTTAGCTACCAAGCGTTGGTACGGATTCTTGTCCATTCTGATACTCATCATAGCTACCCGCCTGAGTTATGTATAATTTTATGGCGCGTTGTGGCTCACACAATTTAAGGGTTTTGTAGAAAGGCGAGGGGGGGGGGGGGAGGGGGGTAATCCAGCGAGTCGATAGAACAAACGAGCAAAGAGAACCAGCAATCGCGTGAAATCCGAGTAAAGAGATACGACAAGTCAAAATATCCAATGTGGGTCAAGAGGCCTAATGAATGAAAGATCCAATCTAAGTCAAGAAATCCAAGTAGGTGATAGAACTAACGGGTCAAGAAATCCAATATTCACGCGAAAACGAAATCAAGATTTGCAGAGATTTACATATCTTCGATTAATTCCCAGTGATTACATATCGCCTGAACGTTAAGAACCGTTCACACACTTGCAACCGAGTACGACCCAGAGAGATCACAGGACCAGTTTTTAAACCTCTTGCGACTTCTTGGGACCGGATGCGCTGCAGCGGAGCTGGTCCTAAGAGATCGTAAGAGGCTTAAAAACCGGTCTGGCCTCTCTCGGTCTTATTGGGTCACAAGAGTGTGAACGGGCCTTGAACGTTAAGAGCCGTTCACACACTTGCAACCGAGTACGACCCAGAGAGATCACAAGACCGGCTTTTAAACCTCTTGCGACTTCTTGGGACCGGATGCGCTGCAGCGGAGCTGGTCCTAAGAGATCGTAAGAGGCTTAAAAACCGGTCTGGCCTCTCTCGGTCTTATTGGGTCACAAGAGTGTGAACGGGCCTTGAACGTTAAGAGCCGTTCACACACTTGCAACCGAGTACGACCCAGAGAGATCACAAGACCGGCTTTTAAACCTCTTGCGACTTCTTGGGACCGGATGCGCTGCAGCGGAGCTGGTCCTAAGAGATCGTAAGAGGCTTAAAAACCGGTCTGGCCTCTCTCGGTCTTATTGGGTCACAAGAGTGTGAACGGGCCTTGAACGTTAAGAGCCGTTCACACACTTGCAACCGAGTACGACCCAGAGAGATCATAAGACCAGTTTTTAAACCTCTTGCGACTTCTTGGGACCGGATGCGCTGCAGCGGAGCTGGTCCTAAGAGATCGTAAGAGGCTTAAAAACCGGTCTGGCCTCTCTCGGTCTTATTGGGTCACAAGAGTGTGAACGGGCCTTGAACGTTAAGAGCCGTTCACACACTTGCAACCGAGTACGACCCAGAGAGATCACAAGACCAGTTTTTAAACCTCCTGCGACTTCTTGGGACCGGATGCGCTGCAGCGGAGCTGGTCCTAAGAGATCGTAAGAGGCTTAAAAACCGGTCTGGCGTCTCTCGGTCTTATTGGGTCACAAGAGTGTGAACGGGCCTTGAACGTTAAGAGCCGTTCACACACTTGCAACCGAGTACGACCCAGAGAAATCACAAGACCGGCTTTTAAACCTCTTGCGACGGCGGAAGACAGGATGCGCTGCTGCGGACCAGGTTTTATACGCAGTCGCAAGAGGCTTGAAAACCGCGGTCTTGTCTCTCTCGGTCGTACTCTGTGGTTGCAAGTGTGTGAGCGCCACTTTACTCATAAGCAGTGGTGGCGGTAACGAGTTACAAATAACGGCGTGACCGGTACCGTGTAACTTTTTCAGTAGCGTATAGTAACGTACTCTTTCCCTTTGAAAGTAGTACGGGTAACGTACTCAATTGCGTTATACTTATTTCAAGTAACGGGTAACGCTCGTTACGTTTTTTTTCCCCAGACGTGGAAGAAAAAAAGCACACTGAAATGGTTTTTGTGTTTCTATACTTCGTTTTACTTCAAGTTCAGACGCAGACCACGGGACGAGCTGATGTGACCAATCAGAGAGCTTCGAAAGCGCACCATCATGATGTTGGTCATGTGTCTGTACGTATTCTATCACCGCTGGACCAATCATAAACAGAAGGGGCCCAGTGACTTGCGCTTTTTATGATGCTTGATTGTTTCCATTACGTCGTAGCGACGGCTGCGTATAGGCGCCTAGTTGTTAATTATCGCACGCATTTCACGTGCCCTCACAATTTTGCCCGTGTTTTCCCCACGCAAAAAGTCCCACTTTAGAAAAACACCTACGCTCACGTCCGTTGTCTCAGTTTCGAAAAACGCCGTTACCGTCAGTCTATAAATAAAAACTGACGCAACAGTAACGCGTTCCTTTTTGTTTTGAGGTAACGTCGGTCGGCATCGCGTTCCTTTATTTTGCAAGTAACGAGGAGCGTATTTCGTTACTTTTTTCGCTAACGCCTACAACGCTGCTCATAGGATAACCCCCCCCCCCTCCCCCTTCAACCTATCTCACGTAGTTACAAACTAACCTCGTATAAGTTCACGTAGTTACAACCCAACCTCGTATTGAGTGTATAGAGAAATATCTGGATATAAAACTTTCTGAATAACATGTTAACTCCATGAAAACGTTAAAAAAAGGCGATCCTAAATATGTTCTATTGGCAAATAACGCGTCGTTACATTTTATCCGGGTCTAAAATGAAACCCGTGCAGGTAGAAAAAAAAAACGCCATCCTTTTTTTTTATGTTTTTATTACGAAGCTCGCGGAAACAGAAGAAACAGCAACACGGATATTTCGACGGGTCCGTGCGTGTGCGTACATGAGCTTCATTCCACGTGCCGTACGCGGGGACCAATTCCCTCCAGCCGGGGAATTCCCGCTCTGTAATGTTTTGTTTCCCGTCGTTTTATGACCTCAAAAAAACCCTAGCGCACAAAGTGAAAAAAAAAAAAAAAAAAAAGACACGAAGACAAAGGTTTACAAAACGCTTATACGAAGACAGAGAAAGAAATGTATAGAGAGGAAAACGCCGAAAAATGTATAAAGCGGCAAATGTGTATAGCCAAAAAGGTATATAGAGGAAAACTTTGGTATAAATACATGAAAAAAAACCGGGCATGGCGCCAGGTCGTCGCGATGTTTGCAAACACAGCGCACGCCACCTCACCGGCCACGCCCCCCTCGCCCTTTCACGTGATTTCACGGCTCGTTCCAGGTGGATGACGTCATCGTGCAACGCCATATTGGGGCCGGGCTGAAGTTCCGGTGGAGCGAACAAAGGCGGGAAGATGTGCGAAAAAATTGCCTTACGTCATCCCCGCTTAGGCAACCACTCACGCACGCTTGTACCCGGAACAATGGTCGGGCAGCGTGACGCGATATTGAAAACGCTCGCCCGTGTGTGAAGTGAAGAAACTGACCCGCGTGTAATACAACACTAAAATAGACATCCTATTTTAGCGTCCACGTACAGGGTGCGGCCGTATAAGGTCTAAAACATCTGGCACGCCTCGCAAGATTCAAATTCCAAACGTACATATGCCTGAAATTGGGCACGCGGACGTCGTCTCGCCAGAAGTTTTATGTATTTTTTTTTCTTTTTTAGTGCTCGATATTGATATAGTAAAATATTAAAAATAAAGCAAAATTGGAAGCCGTGTATTTTTTTTATCTCCTATACCATCTGGTGGCTTTCCCGAAATGCCACCCGGCATCGATATCAGACTCCGCGCACACGTCTCAACCCAATGACTCGGCATTTTTTCTCCCGAATGATAAAAGGCGAAAAAAGAAAGGTAACTAAATTGAGTATCCTAATGGCTTAATTGTTGTCGGACGATGGCAAGATGTCAAGAGGAAGGCGGAAAAAAAAAATAAAAAAAGAGGGCTGACGTTCGTCTGCTACCAGGGTCAAGCGAGGAAGTCGTCTGCTAACTCGAGAAACGCGTCGTCTGCTAAAGACGTCTGGACCCGTGTACGTCATGCAGCCCGTGCGGCGACGGTCGATAGAGCTCGCTATATTTGGGGCTGTCGGTTTTTTTCCGGAGGAAGGAAAAGCAGGCTGTTTCGAGAACCAAGCTAGCGCTCGCAATACGCACTAGGTTATTTATAGTGGTAATCTGTCCCGCTTATAACTGCCGCGCGTGTGACCCTTTGCTTTTCTTCCTTTTTTCGCAGACGACGCAGTCCTTTTTTTGCGCTTTAAGGTCAATGTCAACCCACCGGCTGCACTAAAAAGAAAAATATTCCGCCGACCTTATGTTTAGAATTTTATATAAGTTATCTCTACACTGTGGGAAAAAAACGATGTTCGCGAGTTGCTAGTTTTATCAGGAATATATCCTGATTAAAGAATGACATTATCCTTGGACAGTGAGCGGTGTTGAGATCGGTCTGTGAGGTATTGGGGATTAGGCCCTGAGCACGTGCGTTTCGACAGCAGTATAAACAACAAAAATTGGCAGTAGTTTTTATGTTTAAAGCCTTACAATGCAGGGAACGGACGAATTAAAACCAATGGTCTAAATTTGATTAGAATACATTAATCCGTTGTTTAAGAGAGTGAAGGCTGATTAACTTACTGTCTACCTCCCCACCTCCGCTAGTATAAAAAAATATATATATAACCCATATGGAATATAATATACACCTTTTCCAGAAGGGCGCAGCCATCTTGAATGTTCCCACGTCTAGTATGCGTTAAAAACATCGTTTTGATCTCTCCACCCCGCTGGAAAGCGCTTACGAAAAATGCGTGACAAGATTCCTGTTTTGCCTCACCTACATTTTTTGGCGTATATATCAGGTTGAAATATTTTATTATTTTTTCGTC